AAAATAATCATATTATTTTCATGGGAGAGAAATACAAATTAGTAAATAGGGGCGAGGCTTCTTAAATTAATAAGTGAAAACACAATCGGTTACGTTTTCTCAATTTAAGGTAATTTCTTTTCTACTCCCAATGTAGAAGCGATATTTTGTACATTATAAAAATTTATATTGTATCGCTAGCAAGTTATTTTTAACACGGAATGTGAGATAGATAAGGTAGCGGGTCTGTATTATAAGTTGAGGAGATGCGGGAAAATATTAGAAGTTGATCTCTTGAAAGAGGAGAGCGCGAGGCTGCGTAACATTTGCGCAATTGTTTCACATTGTAATTAAATTATTGCACGAATTGTTAATTTAAAGGCGCCACTGTATTATATCAAAGGTCGGGAGTTGTCAAATCATTAATGGATCTTAAAAGAATCCGCGTATCATCATGAAACGACTGCTGCGATTTGTTTTTTCACTTGCTTGCGTTTGTTTTAAACAAAGTTTCGGATTGATTGCAACGAAATCAAGGCATCTTGGGTTGACACACATGAATCCCATATTTTAAAACAGTGACGGAATAGTTCTGAAACTACAATTAACATTCAAAAATTATTGTTTGCAATAATGAAGTTTGACACATAGTAGGTAATCTAGATACTTGTATGTTTAAATTTTAAATGTCATTATTAAGATTAAAGCAGCAATTGTTTTTTACTTTCCTCACTAAAGAGGAAAATCACATTTTCTTCACCCGTTTTAGAGACAAAAGTAGGTGTTTCTAAAGTAGTTTCAGAAAAAATCAATTTAGAAGAGGTCAACGGTCCGAAACACCTTGCACCCAACCTGCAGACGTAAGTTGCTACACAGCTGAATTTGTGTACCACTTCAACAGTGATAACGTAGGTACTATTTTTATTATTCGCGTTTTTTATGCGACTTATTGGTGAATTAAACTTGAACCGCATATATTTTCTTGGGCACTTATTAAATAAATTAAATTTCATTATCTACATTTGTTTATTTAGAAGTGATCGTTACATTGTTTACTAAGATAGGTTAAATTATCTGGCGAACAGGAATTTTAGTTTAATTTAGGAATTAGGTTTCTGTACTTTTGAATGCCGGTATGAATTTGTTTGATTTTCGTGTTACTTGTAATAAATGCATTCTGTTTCAAATCATTAATGGGATTATCAGTGAAAAAAATCCATTGAATTCTTTCTTTGTAATTAAACAGTAAATGTTTTTTGTCCAGACAGCAATGTGCGGCAAGGTTGAAATACACCAATCATCCGTAGCTTCGCTCTTGACGTTCAAAACAAAACAACTCCAATGGCATTTATGTGAAAATTGCAATCGTAAAAATTTACAACGCAAGAGATTAGTCCGTTCTCACTAAACCTTTAAAATAAGAGAAAAGGAATGTATTCCTGGTATATTAATGAACGCACTCGTAATTAGCTGTAGGAAATCCAGATACCAAAATAATGACTTGCGGTACTTGGTGTTCCTTTCTGGGGATGCTCTTCACGCAGATGAAAGTTTATCCAGCGAACGTATCGCTCCTGAATGCTCCACGACGTGTTGCTAATACGGAACAGTAATATATTGTATATACAGTTTGGTAGACGGTTTTTCGTCAACCGGAAATGATTTTTGCGGTTGGTC